ATCAGATAAAAAGTCTGAGAAATCAGACAGAAACTCTGTGTAAGGCCCAGGTGGACGATAGATGATAACAAGTAAGACTGGTTTCTGAGTTTCACAGCTGGGGTGGACGAGGCGAAGCATCAGGCTTTCAAATGAATTAAAAGTCTGTCTTGGTCTTTCATTGATTAATAGGCTGGTGTGAGAAATTGCTGCCACACCTCCCCCCCGGCCTGTGCTTCGAGGTTTCTGGTAGTTAGAATGACTCGGGGGTGTTGATTCATTTAAACTAACATAATCATCCTGCTGCAACCAGGTTTCTGTAAGGCAGAGTAAATCAATCTGTTGATCAATTATTAAGTCATGTACTACACCGTTCAGCTGCTTTACTTAGTAAAAGTGTGCTTGCTCGCTCTGGCTGTGAGTTCCTCGCTGACGTGTAATTACAACAGTGAGTGTGTGGTGAAGTGGGTGTGTCTGCTCTTCAGTCATGGAGCAGGTAGACCAGCTGCTGTGATCTGAGCACACGAGCTGTGGACACTCAGGGTTTAAATTAGATGCAGAGACGGGTTTAAGGTGGAAATACTGGAATAAAAGAAGAGATTCTGAGGTTTTCACCCTCAGGGGAGTTCAAATCATGTTCAACTCTGGACGTCATGTGATGGAATTTATTTAATCGTACTTGTTCTGAAAATATTCAGATTTTTTACCTTTGGTTTCGTTTTTTCTTTTAAAAATTATTATGAAATTGTTGTAACTTCATAAAAATGTAACAAATTATTTTTGATTGTTAGACAATTTTCAGAAGTACAGTCACCTGTGTCGATCACCTGTGTCGGTCACCTGTGTCGATCACCTGTGTCGATCTCTCCTCAGCTCCTCCGGTTCCGGTCCAGACATCCTTGAGGGCTGGTGGCAGAGAAGCCCCGCCTCCCCCTCCTTACAGGACACATGGTAGCCCCTCCCTCTCTTCCGATCCCCCGACCCGAGGAAAACCTCCTCCCCCGCCCACCCGCACCCCAGCCGCTCCTCCCCCGCCTCCCCCTCCTCTCCGAAACGGGCACTCCTCCTCCGTCCCTCGCTCGTTTGCGGGTGAGTCCGTCTCCAGCAGGCGGTCGATGAAGCTGCTGCTGATTTCCTCTGATGATCTGATTAGAGCTGAATTCGTCTCCCCGCTGCTGTGTCCTCCTCCTGTCTCTCCCCTCTTCTCCTTTTATTTGTAAAGCCGTGTAAACGCACACGCAGCTGTTTGTGTCACTCTGAGCTGTTTCCGTGTCCTGACTCTGTGTCGTCCTCCTGCAGATGATTTTGAGTCCAAGTACTCGTTCCATCCTCTGGACGACTTCCCTCCTCCGGACGAGTACAGACACTTCACCAAGATCTACCCGAGCAAGGCCAACAGAGGTACGACCTCGTGCACGTCTTTGTTTTCATTCGTCCGTTTATTCACGAAAATAACACAGAACAGGAAGTGACGTTAGAACGACGAGTTCTGCTGAAACAGAAAGAGGTTCAGTGGATCCGTCACGTTTTATTATTATTATTATTATTATTATTATTATTATTATTACTACAACAAACAGAATCCGAGCAGACACAGGGGGAGCTCAGAAGTTTAACAAACATTTTTGTTTGTTTCAGTGATGCGAGGAGCTCCTCCCCTTCCTCCGGTCGGGAGGTGAACCAGGAAGATCACACCCTGGACCACACACACACA